GGCATACTTTGAAAATGTTAAGCTAGAAGAAGTGACGTGAAGACCCGTATGTTGTCAAGCCCCGTTCCTATGGAATGTCCAGGCTAGGTAAAGCCCATAGAGACAGAAAGAAATAGTTAGGGGTGGGGTGGCCAGTGATTGCTGACGAGGCAGGGGTTCTTTTAAGAGGTCACAAAATACTTTAAAATCAGGTTGTGGCGATGGCTGCACAATTAATTCCACGGACATTAAAAAATTGTTTCATTGTCCACTTTAAATAGATGAGTTATATGGCATGTGTATTATGCTTCATTAATGCTGCTACTATAAAAAGTACAGCGAAGGGTTGGAGAGATGGCTCAGCGCTTAAGAGCACAGGTTAAGAGCACAGACTGCTCTTGCAGAGGACCCGGGTTCTGTTCCCAGCATCCACACAGAGGCTCACAAGCATTTCTAACTCCAGTCCCAGGGGATCCAATGCTTTCTGAAAACCCATGAGTACACCAGGCAGGCATGTGGTGCACATACATACATGCAGGAAAACACACATAAACAATAAATAAGTGAGTAAGTAACTCTTGAAAAAAACAAAGCAAAACAGAAATCAGTGGTCCTGGGACTCAGAAGTGTAAAAGAAAAAACAAGTGAACTGAGCACAGAGCCGTCCTGGTCCCAGTATTTGCTGAACTGCAGGAGGAAGGGAGCTCTTCGATCCTTGGGCTTAGAGTATCCCTTCACTCCCCAATATCCAGGACTGCCTTGTGACATGTAGGATGTCCTCAAGAGTTATTACAGTAGGTGGCCCCCCAGCATCTCTCAGGAATCCATGGGTACTGGGTTGATTCCTGTATGGGTCCCATTCAGTTCCCTGTGTGGCCTTAAATTGATCTGGAGCCCTGAGAGGTGGGATGGTCAGCAAGGGAGAGGGGTAGACTTTGGCTGAAGGCCATCAAGTCAGGGCCCCTGCTTGGTGGCCTTGGACCATCACTATGAATCCAGGTTGGCCTTTATTGTACAGAGAAACTTCTGCTGTCTGTGTAGTCTCAAAGGCTCAGGTGGGGAGGGACAAGGTGGCAACACTCTGTGTACTGGCCCCCACAGCCTAAGCTCTGACTAGGGTCAGGGGTGGACAAGGGCAGGGCCCTGGCTCCCAGGTCTCACTTCTCTTCATTCTCTTCCTCGTAGTGACAGTGCCTCCAGCACTCCCAAAACCCCGGATGGTGGACACTCTTCTCAGGAGATAAAGTCTGAGACCTCATCAAATCCCAGCTCTCCAGAAATCTGTCCCAACAAAGAGAAGTAAGAGAGTTGGGGTTTGGGAAAGGCTGGCTGTAGCTATTTGGAGTCCTGGCTTATGTGCTCTGCCTCCAGGCAAGCTGAGAGTGACAGTTCTTGCCTTTGGAAGTCTCTGGACTACAAGGACCACCTGGCAGAGGCTGGGGGAACCACCATGGGCAAGCTGAGTCCTCTGGTGGATATGCCTCACTCTCCGTTCGCCTTGCTTCCCATTCCCCACAGGCCCTTCATAAAGTTGAAGGAGAATGGCCGTGCCAACATCTCCCGTTCCTCCTCCAGCACCAGCAGCTTCAGCAGCACCGCAGGGGAGGGTGAGGCCATGGAGGAGGATGAGAGTGGGGTAAGTGTGCCCCATTCAACCAGGGAGCAGCATTCTGGGGCTCAGATGGTTATACTGTGCTTTCAAATAACATGGGGAAGGTGTGGCCTACTATCAAATGAGAGCAGTGAGTGAAGGGACTCTGTCTCAACAGAGTGTTTAAGGCAGCAGTGGAGGTTGTCCCTGCCAGGGGGACACCAACTGGAAAGGGAAGGGGTCAGGGAAAGGCTGAGGTTGAACGTGGGGTTGGAAGCAGTGACTTGCATGGTCCATCCCAGGACAGCTGTGGGACACGGGGGTACGTTGGCCTTGCTCACCCAGTTTCTCTCCGCAGAGCAGCCAGCCATCCACGACCTCACCCTTCAAGCAGGAGGTGTTTGCTTACAGCCCGTCCCCGAGCAGCGAGAGCCCCGGTGTGGGAGCTGCTGCCACCCCCATCATCATGAGCCGGAGTCCCACAGGTCAGTGGCCTGTGAAGATGTGTGTGATGTAGCTGGGAGGGCAGAGCTGCGCCCTGGCTGCTGGCCCAAGGGCATGCACCCCAGGCATGCTGGACTGGCCGGCTTCTCCTTTTCCAAGATGTCAGGGCCGTCACCTCTACCACTTTACTCCATCTGTCCAAACATACAAAGGTCACATTCGTATCTTCTTATATATGGGGAAACTGAGGCCTAGAGAACTGAATGATTTCATGAGATTCCATGATGGAGTTAGGACTGAGGGATTAGAAAGCTGGACATTCTCTGCTCATCTCTTGCCCTACCCTGTCTTCTCCCAGGGACAATGCCACAGCAGGGATGCTGAGCACCTGGCACTAAGAGGAAACAGCAGTGGAGGAGGCTGGAGGAGTACAAGACTGTGTTCTCGCAGTGCATGAGGTTCAGTGCAGTGGGGGTCATGGGGAGGTGAGAGAGGGGACAGGGGGCTGCCAGGAGGCCTGGTGAGGACACAGGTGTTGTTGGTAAAAGCCACTGAAGGCACTGGAGGTGCCACCCGGCATTGAGAAGGACCATTTGGCAGCTGCATGCTGAGCATTGAAAGGATTGGTGGGGGCTGGGAAGAGGCACCAGCAGAGGCCCCGTGGGCACTTAGGGGAGCCAGGGTCAGGCAGAGCATTGGACGTAGGATTTACTGATAGTTAGCGCTTAGGGAAAGTGGTGGCCTGGGTGTTTCAGGTTTCTGAGATCTCTACAGTTGAGCAGAGTAGGGAGTACCATGCTGGAGGAAAAGGAAAGGGGTCAGCTCTCAGGGCCCACCAAGAACCCAGTGTGACATGATCTTCACCCAGGTGGGACTGTGGGGAGGGGTTAGTTGGTCTCAGCAGAAGGTATTTATAGGTGAGCAGTCTCAGGCTGTAAACATCCAGGAAGAGGAAGGGCAGTTGGTAGGTTTTGTCATTTGTAAACACTCGTATCATCCACACTCTGACCAGAGAAGGGCTTTGCCATCTCTCTGAGCCTCACGATGGTGGCAGAGGCTTTGGCATTTCCATGGGCCTGAGGCATTGGGTCCTTGATATGGCTGTGTCTGTGTCAATACACTCACTCAGGACTTCACCTGTTCTTTCTTTACACACTCACTCAGGACTTCACCTGCTCTTTACACACTCACTCAGGACTTCACCTGTTCTTTCTTTACACACTCACTCAGGACTTCATGTGCTCTTTACACACTCACTCAGGACTTCATGTGCTCTTTACACACTCACTCAGGACTTCATGTGCTCTTTACACACTCACTCAGGACTTCATGTGCTCTTTACACACTCACTCAGGACTTCATGTGCTCTTTACACACTCACTCAGGACTTCATGTGCTCTTTACACACTCACTCAGGACTTCATGTGCTCTTTACACACTCACTCAGGATTTCACGTGCTCGTTACACACTCACTCAGGACTTCTTCAGCTCCCTATAAAGATCTGATGAGCACACACTGTAAGAAACATACAGCTATTAGCCTAAATGTGTGTCATGGGACTGCAATAAAGCATTAGTGTGACCAGCCATTTCTCAGCTAGGGGTGTTCTTGCTCCCCATGGGACTGTGGCAATATCTAGAGTTATTTTTGATTTTCAGAATGGCTGGGGTGGGAGTGGTATTCTACTGGTATCACTGGGTAGAGACCAAACAATGTCAAAAGTAGGATGTAGTGAGATACAGGGGACTTTGTGACGGGCTTCCCAGCTAATGGAGTAGTTCACAGCTTCCTTTGATTCAGCGCCTGGTGGTCATGCAGATCTTGAGACAGATTCCAATCCCAGCTTTTGCACTAACAAGTTTGCCTCCCAACCCTCAGTTTCCCCATTTGTAAAATGGAGTAGTCAGACACATTTCCTGATGTTTTAAAAGCTTGGTTAAATATTGATGGAGTGAACAAGAAAATATGTCACCAGACTGTGTCCTTGATGGGCGGTGGTAGCACACACCTTTAATCCCAGCACCTCGGCGGCAGAGTCAGGCGGATCTCTGTGGGTTAGAGACCAGCCTGGTCTACAAAGCTACAGAGAAACCTTGTCTTGAAAAACTAACTAACTAACTAACTAAATAGCAAACTGTGTCCTTTGTGGCACTAAATAAATATCAAAAGGAATGAATGCCAGCCTGCTGTCTTGGACAGGGTTTGAGTGGAGGGAGGCTCCGGGAGTGTCTGCAACTGGGTTAAGGTCACTCAGGGCAGGAGGAAATGTGGAACAGGTGTGGAATCATCCCCAATGGCAACAACACCCCAAGGAGGTACACCCCAGACCGTATTATACCGACATCTGCTTTTGACCTCTAACCCCATGCATTCTGGGCTTGGAGGTCTGGGAACCTGTTTCTGGCTGCTCCAGTGAGTGTGAGGAAAGGCAGGCTAAGGGGAGGGGTGGGCTGTGGGTCTTCTGTAATTGTAAACCCCGTCACTGGTCATTCATACTCAAGCTTCTTGGCACAAAAAGGGAATCATCGGGATCACTCAGGGAGGGTCTTATAGCATGCATGTGTACATGTATGTGTATGTACTTGTGTACGTGCACATGTACTTGTTTTGCATGAACACAGTAAACTTTACCAATATGATGGATCTGAAACATAGTTTGCAAATAATGGCAAAATATACAATATTCTTTACTGCATCTTATATGTCTATATGATTCTCAAAGGACAGTTTCACTGGTACTAACTCTGGTACCTGTAGCCAGTTTAAGGTGGCAGATGACAGTCAAATCTGGTTCCCATGTGGGTGTCGATGGATATTATTACCTATGTTGACATTTTACATCAGGAAGACAGCGCTCATTTCATCAGTGGTACCAATAGCCTTTTTGCTGAATTTGGTAGTAGTTCTCAAACACTGGGAACACGGCGGTTCCTCTGCTGCTCTTCACAATGAAGTGGCTGCAGGCACAACACCTTCCCTGGCTTATTTCATGTATTATTATTTTCCATTGGTTTCTTAAATCTAGACAGCAAAACTGTAAGCCAAGCCCTGGTTTGTAACATTGCCAACTTCAGTAGTCTTAATACTCTCATCAAGATTGATCTCAGGCTCCCAGTGAGACACCCTGAGCTTGGGGTTGAGGAGAGATGAATAGCCTACTACCTGAGCGAATTTCTGATAAAAGGATACAGCAGATGCGAGGGCACAGATTACAGCAAAACCTGGCAATATAATGAGGAAATGGCAAATTTTGAAAATCTGTTATCTTCCTTGAATGTGGTCTGTTTCCTTATAAGCTTCCATAGTTTAATTTAGAAGATATTTAATTTTAACATGACCCATGTTCAATAACTAGGGCACACCATTTCTCAGCGTCTGAGTACTCTTAAACAAGAGTGGATACCTGTTAGCGAGCATCCTTTGCGGGAGGTTGAGGTCCAGTCTCCAAGGTCCCCTCTCTCACTATTCTGATTTTGCTAGATTAATTCCTTAATCCCGCGTCTTTTTTTTTTTTTTTCTTAGATGCCAAAAGCAGAAACTCCCCGAGGTCAAACCTGAAATTCCGCTTTGATAAACTCAGCCATGCTAGCTCCAGTGCGGTAAGGATGGTGTGTGCAGCTATGGAAGGGCCCCATGAGCCCTACACCCCACATTCCAGGACCCCCAGTCTTCTTTCCAGTGGGCTGTAGAGAGCACCTCAGAGAGTGTTCGAAAGGGCTCCCTAAGGCAGGTGGAGAAGGATGTTCTGCTAGACCTGGGGGTGATGGTTTCTGTTCTTACATGGTACAGACACCAGGCTCAGGGCTCACCAGCCCCCTGTGCCACTCCTGCAATAGAGCCCTATCCTTGCACACAGTCCTGCCCAGATGTGAAGTGGGTTCTGCTGGCCCCTGGAAGCCCAAGTCCCTTCAGATTTTTGGGAACTGAGTGTTTAGAAGCTGTAAGTGGAGGTGATTGATGTCTGGCTTTTGAGACATTCTTGTGTATTTCTTAAACAGGGTCACTAATGTGAAAGCGGAGTCCTTCCCCTGTCTAAGGTGAGTGTCTTACAGTGGCCCCGAGTGGTTCCCTTAAGGTCAGAGTGTCTGTGGCTTTGTGAGGGATGCTGAGGGCTACCATTGATGGACATCTCCAGGCCTTCTAGGGGAAGGAGGGGCTTAGAACAGTGCCTGGGAAGGGTTGTCCAGTGGCGTTGGGATAGCTTCCTACACTGGATGGAGCTGGTTGTAGTAGCTAGAAGGGGAAGTAGTCGAAAGCTGACTTCCTTCCCTGGAGGGAGAAATTCCTCAGTTTACCCTTGCTTTCCTGTTTACAGGCAATCTGTGTCTCCTTGTATTTTTGGCTAAGGCTCCAGGCTGAAAAAGATCTTCCCCATAAGACATGAGAAGCCCCCACCCAGCCATTGCTGTGAGGGACACCCCTAGGGTGGTCTGTTCCTGGTGTGATACTCTAGTGAACTTCTGAGAGTGAAGTCACCTTAGACCCATTGTAACCCTCACCTACTCTGTGAGGGCTCTCAGGAGTGTGAGTGAGTTGGGACCAAGGAGAAGGGTACAGTTGAGCCCACTTTGTGTTAAACCTGTTCATGAGAAAACAAGAGAAAATGGGAGTGTGATGCTGGCCTCCACCATCTGTGATGCACTTTGGATGCTTCTGTGGTAGCACAATGCTTACACACAGCTTCTGGGCCTAAATCCCCCTTCTATTTGGCCCCCTCCTTGTCCCGAATATAGACACAGGCAAGTGGGTTCCCCATCCTGACTCCAGCCTGTTTTCTCCCCTTTTACCCAGTTCTTGTTCTCTATCTCCCCTTTCTTATTTCCTCAGGGAAGTCTTGATTCTGGCCTGCAGAAGGCTCCTATTTCAGCGGTTTGGGGGTGCCATCCACTACTCTGACCATTCAGGCCTGCTGTCTCACTGGCCACCTGCCCAGCAGACCCGCTGTCTGTTCCATGACCTGGCCATGGCCTTGCTGGCTCCTTCTCCACAGACCTGAAAGCCCCAACCTCTACTCCTGACCTCCTGATGTGACCGGTTATTTAAGTCAACTGTCATCTTGTTTTACCTGCTGGAAAAGAGTTGGGCAAGGGGGATTCTGGGTCTCAGGGGTCTCAGTGAGAAGCTGGAGAGCTCGTCTGCTCCAGAGACAGAGGGGGTTGTGTGGTGGGGAGCAGAGATGGCTACAGAATGGTTGATGGGTGCTGCCTGTCTTGGGTCACAGTGCAGTGCCTTCCTGGATATGGTGGAAAGACTGCTTTTCCAGGAATTTCCCAGCATCTTCCAGGTTGTATCTCACCACTCCTGTGATAAGCACTTCTGACACATCTGTTGGCCCAGGTCTAGGGAGCTCTGTTCCTGCTGCTAGGGTCCCCTTAGGGAAGACTCAGGCTGGTGGAAGCTCAGAGTCAGAGCTAGGTGTGTGCGGGACATGGCTGCATGCTTCCTTGACTGTGGTCTCAAGGTTTTCCTTTCTAGTTTTACACAAGCTGCTGATCATTCTCATGGTGAGAAAAGCCCTGGTGGCTTTTCTTCTTGAGTGAATATTTTTCCTACAACTGAGTGGGCGTCCAGGAGTGTGAGGAGTCTAGGGCGGATGCATGGCCAGTGCAGTGATGTTTGTTGGCTGAGGAAAGCTTCTGAGTGGGCAGGCTCATCTGGGGTCCAGCTCTGCACTTCTGTGAGAATTCAGAAAAGACATAGTTCAATCCATCTCTTAGGTGAGACAGAGGGGAGAGATGTAGTGTGGGTGACTTGACAACTTGTGGTCAGGCCGGTGTGTGCCAGTTGAACTTAGCATTGGGAACACTATGATGTCCTTCCACCTCTGTGGGCTTCTAGGCTCAGTCCCCAGTCCTGTTCTCCCCATCTCCATTTGCAGGCCTCCAGGCAGTTGTCCCATCTGCAGGGCTCCTGAAGCCAGGCCCAATGAGCCTGTGCTTTATACACCACAGACATCTGCACTCCTAGCCATGGCCTCCTTCACTTCTAGCCATGGCCACCTTCACTTCTAGCCATGGCCACCTTCTCTAGGTGAGCCTGCTCATCCTGAAGAGCTCCCTTTGGCTTCTCAACCTTCTGGGTTTGTAGAGCCGTACAGCTGCTGGGAATGGGGTGGAGTATCTGCCAGTCTAAACACTGGGTCTAAACAAGAGGCACTTGAAGATCCTGCCCCAGTAAGTACACATAGGTCCCTGGCACAGGGCTGCTCTGGTTCTGAGCTCCTGCTTCAGTGAGCAGATGACAAGATTTCCCACCAAGTGCTTTGTCTGCATAGGCTTCTATTCCCAAGCCAAAGTACAGAAGGGCGACACAGCTTTTGGGGCCTGTATTGTAACTATGTCCCCACTGCTTTTGTCATCGGAGAACAATTTTGTTCCTTCATTCCCCACACACTTATTTGTAGCCTTCACTCCACTTGGGGAACCTGCTTATGTGAAATACTAGTCTGGTAAGGTTTGTTCTAGTTAGAAGGTCAACAGAATATCTATTTAGCTTTCATTAAAAGCCAGCCTAGCGGCGCCCACTGCTAGAAGGAGGCGGGTGGATCCTGGCTGTGTTCTGCTGGCAGGATTCTGTTTGAACTTGAAAGGTCAAACTGTGTTTTCTTTGAAACCCTTACAGGACTCTGGCTCCCTTCTCTAGGTTGGATGGTTTTACCTTTGCTTGGTGGCTGTGCTGTGTTGTATTATGGTCTGGGTCCTGAGGAGCTTCCAGGTTGTCCTGCACTGTCATCGCTGGAAACCTTCTAAGTCTTGACCCCACTGCTTTGCCTGTTTCCCTGCAGGCATTACCTCTAGGCCAGGCGTTGCCTCTGCTTCTGGGCCAGTGGCCAGGATGGATGACTGTGTACAGAGGAACTGAGAGGCACCGGGCTGTGGTCTTCATCTTTGATTTGCTGTTGAGATACATGCCTCTCTCTATCTAGCAGGTCCATCCTGGTTGTTCCCAGTCTTAGGTTTTAGAGTCTTGCGGAAGCTCCTTTATGCGACTGGTTCTGTGTAGATGAGGCTTTTGCTTGTATTTGGGGTTCTACTGTTGCCCCCACTAGGGGTTCTCCTGGTCACAACTCTGGCTCTGGGGATTGCCTGACTCGCTGCAGAAACTATATTTTGCAGGTGTTAATTGGCACCCAGATCCTCCAGCTCTGTTGATACATCAAAAACAGATGTGGGAGAGCTCCAGATAGATCTTAGCCAGAGTTTCTGTCTGTAATTTTGAATGTCACATGGTGCTTCTTGGAAAATAACCCGTGGTTCAGTTTTGTGGGCACCATTTGATACTCAAGCCTTCTGGACTGTTTGCATCTCATCCAATCATGTCATCCTCCCCATGAGCAGAAAGAACTTGGCTGAAGCCACACAGCCACCTAGTGGGCAAAGCTGTTACTAGACTCAGAGCCTCTGGCCCTTTCCTGTGTACCAACTGTACTTACTGTTGGTGGGGTAAACAGTTGCATTTCCTAGGCCTGGGTTTGGGGGAAGCCTGTTAGCTGGGGAGGTGCTGGGTTGGAGGAGGATATTGTTAAGGCCTCAGCTGTGCCTAATTTTTATCATGAAAAATCTTGGTCAGTGAGGAGCCTGGGGCTTGAGTGAAGGAAATGGAGGGGGAAGGGTTCCAGCAAAGGGCTTCTTGGGTCTTCAGTGATGGGCAAAGTGACCTGGACATAGATGCATGAGATACTGTTGGCTTCATTGTTCTAAATCAGGACAGAAAGTGATTAAAGGAACTAATTCTCTGACCTATCTTCTCTTCCTTGCTCTCTCCATCCTTCCCTCTTTTTGGTGGTGCTGGGAATGAACCCAAGGCCCTGCTCATGCTAAGCTAGCCAGTACCCTGCCCCTGAGCTATACCCCAGGCCTCTCCAGATCAGGTGACTAGGCAGGACACAGCGGTTTCATTTTCCTTCCTTTGACCCTTTAAGGTGCCAACTCAAACATTACCTTTTGTCCATTGTTTCTTAGTCTGCAAAGACAGCTGTGTTGTGGGGGAGTGCCTGGGGTTCAGATAGAGCTTATGGTTTCTGGGCCAGCAGTGACCAGGTTAGTCAGCCATGCTCTGGACCCCCATGCTCCTTCCCCAGCTTCTAGTTACCCCTCAATCAAAGGCATGGACTGGTTGGTACAGTACACAAGGCTGTTTCTGCCACTTGGTAGAGAGCCTTTGAGGCATCCTACCAAGCTCTGGTGCCTGTTTCACCACCAGCTCCTTGCCCACATCAACCCCATGTCTCTTCAGCTGGGCTGTGTTCTCCCTTGGGAGAAAAGAAGGCCCTAGAGCCAATGGCAATCTTCCTAGTGAACAGCAGCTGGGGAAGTGGCTTTGGCCTGGGCCTTACCATCACTGGGGAGGGTGTGCTTGGCTGGAAGACTGGAATTAGTTGCCATTGTCTTTGGTTTTGTGACATTTCCACTTGGAAGGGTGAGATTCCCCTTCTCGCTCCTTAGCGTGTATGCCAACTCTTCCTCCTTGTGATATCACTTTGACCTCCAGATCCCAGTATGCCAATGTCTCCATGTGAAGAGATGCCTGTGTGGTAGAACCTCTGAGGTGTAGTTTGGAAGTGAACCCTGTGACGATGACTTTTCTTTGCTTCCTCTCAGTGAGGAGGTGATTTGTAGATCCCGACTGCCTATGTAATGTAAATAGTGTACATTTAATTTATTGCTATGGTAGCACATTGTATTTGTTAATGTATAAAACAAATTCTAAGAGGTTGACAAATGTATATTTTGTTGCTTAAATGTGTCTTTGCAGAAATTGACAATAAATGATAACATATTTTGTGTCCATCAGAGTTCATGTTCTCTGAGTGGGGTACCAGACTTCATCAGGGCCTTTCACTGGCGGTTGGGAATTAGCTGGCTTGAGCCTGCCTGAAAAATTTTAAATGTGCTATCATGTTAACAACAAACAAATAAGCAAACCTGATGCTGGGAATTAGTTTGTTGGATAAGATTGCTCGCTGTGCAAGCCCAAGAATCTGAGTTCGAATCTCCAGCACCTCCAAAAAGTTGTGCATAACTGCACATGGCTGGGACCCTACATGGGGGAGGGGCAGAAACAGGCAGATACCAAGAACGTGTTTGTTAGTCAAGGGAAAATGGCAAGCTTCCTGCTCAGTGGGAGACACTGTCTCAACGGAATTAGGCCAAGAGTGAGGCGGGAAGACAAATAATGTCCTGCTCTGGACTTTGTGTGTACAGGAGTGCAAACCTGCACACTCATGTGTGCACCACATACATGTACAAAACACATACATACACATTAACACATACACACAGAGTCAGACTAACCATAGCTTTAACAAAGTAGGAGGTTTTGTTTCTCATTTTGAAAAATATCAGACTGAATCTATGAGGTCATGGATGGGTGAGAGCTGGCAGGAACTCCTTTTGGTGGGAACTGAGATTTCCATCATCCCCACCACTCTATCTTTCTCCCTGTCAGTCGTTTATCCTTTCTTGTTATTTGTTCAGCCTCTATAGTCTCAAGATGAGACCCCTGCTGCCCAATGACTTCTCTCCTTCCTATAATTTCCCCCTTTCCCTGAGATCCTCTCAGATTCTTGGTTCAGGGATTTTCTCCTGACTAAATATCTTTCCTTTGATTTTCTTCACAAATGGCTGCGCTAACATGTGCACTTTGCTTGACAGCTTTGGTGTGGATTCAAAGACAAGAGGCAGGTTTTTTTTTAATTTAAATTAAAAACAATCTTATTTTCCATACCAATCCCAGTTCCCTCTCCCTCCCATCCTCCCATGCCCCCCACCAACCCCCATCCACCCCCTTCCACTTCCCAGGGAGGGTGAGGCTTCCCATGGTGGATCATCCAAGTCTGTCACATCATTTGGGGTAGGGCCTAGGCCCTCCCTCGTGTGTCTAGGCTGAGAGAATATCCCTTTATGTGGAATGGGCTCCCAGAGTCCATTCATACACTAGGGATAAATACTAGTTCCACTGTTGGAGGTCCCATAGACTGCCCTGGCCTCCCAACTG